AGCTGTCTTGGCAATAGTACACTCTGGCTAACGCCTTCAGTTCAAGCCTCCAGTCAGCAACAAGTCAGAAGAAGATTAGTGAGACTACTAGCCAGTTGGGAAAAGTAAGAGATATCTCTTGGGAGAGTAGAAAACTTGCAGTTATGACAGCTTTGCTGCCAACTGACCAGTTATTTGACATAATTACTTGCAAGTGCCCAATTGTTCTCTGTCCTGAGTTTGGATGCGATCGTGACTGTAAATCCGAGGCCCACATCTCCTGTATTTGCAAGCGTGAACTGAAGATTCCTGTGATCGAATTGGCATTTGTCAAAGCACAGAGAGAGAAAACTGGCAGTATAGGGGCTCTCATGATTTCTAGCCAAGATATTCCGGAGTCCAAGAGACAGGAGGCTGCCACAGAGAGACAGAAGAGGAGAAGAGTTGCTGAGGAAAAGAGACTTGAGAAGGCCCAGGGTGAGGTAAAAAATGCCGATGATTGGAGTCAAGCTGATTCAGAGTTTAATGACTTCCCCATGGCTGATCCGAGTGCTGACCAGGAGAATGGTGACTTTGTCCCTAACCCAAAAAATAATGATCCCAAACCTTCCAGGCATAACATTCGAAATAGGAAAGATATCCCGAGCATAGCTCTGGCCAGCATGCAACACCACACTGGTCTCAGAGAAACTGCAGAGATAGCAACAGCTGCCTGGATTGACGGTGGTTTGATAACACCTGATGATGTTCACCTGGTGATAGATCATAACAAAGTAAGGAGAGCTCAGGAGAAACTTGTCAGTAACTTAGAAGAGGAGTTTGATAAGGGGATATGAGAAAATGGAATCAATTGTTTGTTCTTTGATGGGAGAAGGGATGACACTAAAGTGTTCATGAAAGTTGGAGATTCTGACAAGTTGTTCCCTGCCATGGTGAAGGAGGAACACTACTCCTGCTGCAGTGAACCAGGAGGGAAGTATTTGTGGCATTTCACTCCAGAGAAAGATGACATCAGGAAACCAGCTGAGATAGTGGCAGATAACATTGTGAACTGGCTCAGAGAGAGGAACGTAGACCAGACCCTGCAGGCCATTAGAGAGGACAGCACCAACACGAACACAGGGTGGCAAGGGGGGGGTCATACAGTGGATAGAGCGGAAGATTGGGAGGAAGCTGGTCTGGATTGTTTGTGACCTCCACACCAACGAGTTGCTACTCAGACATCTGATCCAGGAGCTGGATGGCAAGACTCTTTCAAACAACAGATGGTCTGGTCCTGGCAAAGATGCTGGACTTTGCCACTGGGAGTTAGAAATAAATCCGAGCTGAAAAAATCACAGTTGGCTCCTCCACTCGTTGAGCTTGCACATACTGTCATTGACGACCTGAGTACTGACCAGTACTATGGTTACATGATTTGCAGTGCCATCAAACTGGGGTCATGCCCGATAGACTTGCTTACCCGCAGATAGGTCCAGTCTCACATTCTAGGTGGCTCACAACGGCTCTCAGGTTCTGCAGAATTCGTCGCCTTAATCATAAACTGAAAGGGAACCAGCTTCACAACCTGAGACTTATTGTCCAATTCATCGTGAGTGTCTACTTGCCAAATTGGTTCAACACCAAGGTCAAGTCATTGTTCTCCGAAGGTCCGAGGCATGTTCTCTTCCAGCTTGAGCTCCTGAGGAGTCAGCCAAGGAAGGTTGTTCAGATTGTGGAGCAGACTGTGAGGAGATCTTCCTGGTATGCTCATCTCGAGGCAGTTTTGCAGACAATGCTCTGCAGTAAGGATGAGGAGGAGAGAAGAGTGGTGTCAAAAGATCTTGGATATGAGACTTATGAGAGGATCTGTGCATGACGAATCAGTTGGTGACGATTCCTTCAGGGTCAGAAGACTCCTGAAGTCAATCTAGGTGCCAAGACCACTGATCTCAGATCCGGATAACATCCAGGCTGGCAGTGAGCCCTCTTACCTGCAGCCTCACCAATGTTCAAGTCAGAGCTTTCCTGGACAACCCCATGCATGTCCCTGCCTGGCCCTCGCACACCCAGAGTATAGAGCGTTGTGTACAGCAAGTGAGCAAGCCCAGCAGTCACGTGTACAGCCAGGAGAGGAGGGAAGGCTACATCCGAGCTCAGGTGGTCAGCAGGGAGGTGATGAGTAGAAACAGAAGCAAGAAAGACATGTTCTCTATGGTGTGCAGCAACACCGGGTCGTAGTAGTAAAACCGGTTTTTGTATTTGATGATTTTGTTTTCTAAAGGATATTAAATTTAATAAATGTGTCAAGATCATTCGTTTCACTATTCTGGATCATTTTCATCCTAATAAATTAACCTGATACATTTACTTTACTTTAAATAAGCAATTTAGTGGTGTTGGTAAAAGGGTGGGAATACTGAATTTTCAGAAGATTTCAAGTTAAAATTTACCTAGCAAAAAATGAAAACTTTTCAAATCTGAAGATATCACATGATTCTGCACATAGAACTACATCATTAATACCATGGGCCGATTTTTC